AATATGTGTTCCAAATTTCAAATCCATCTGTCGGCAGGAAGAGGGTCAAACTTTAATTACTAAATTTGACCCAACCAAATAAACAGGGCAAGTTAAATAAAACCTTTTAAAAATGTACTGACTGGTAGCCAAATTCGAATGCTTTGTTAGAAATGATCAGTTGATGGTCCTTGGTGATTTCAGTTTTTTTTAAATTCCTTATATGATCAGAAAATGTTTATTTAATTAAATTAAACTAAAATCTAGTGTACTGTACCGGACAGATACGGCCCTAACTCAGAGTTGTCTCTCACATGTTGTCTTTGCCTCCATTGTGTTTGAAGTTGCTGACGCTCTAAGAAGATGTTCTACTCGAGAAAACATTTCAAATATGAGCTGGGGCCGTGGGAGAGCGTTAAAAAAATCACTTGGTCTTAAAAATTTACGTTTTTCTGAGTTCCTCTGAAGATTTTTAGTTATGGGTCTCAGTGATTTTTGAAACGTTCACCCGTTTCGAAAATATTCGAGTTTCATCAGGGTGAATCTCCAGGAAATCCATCGATCGATTGTGGGAATACCATAATTAGAAAGAATCTGAAAATTTGACAATATACTGAAGTCAATGGGGGCAACTCGTCTGAAATATTCTCAAAATGGCGTCACATTCGGTTATACCGGAAGTAGCTATCAACTTCGTTATTTTAAATAGATCATCCTATATTATTATTACATTTTTGGATTCTTCATCAGAATATGAATACTTTTCGTGCATAATGCCCTATATCTAAGTCTAACCGTTTTTGACAACGGTTAGACTTAGATTTGACAGGTTTTTNAACATGAAAAAACAATAGATTAATTTCTGCGAACAATTCGTATATTTGTCCCCACTGTGCGACGCCTGATTCAATCGTTTCAGCAAAAAATATTCCAATTGTTCAGTATGAATATAAAGGAACGAAAAAAAAGACCAGGACGATAGTTGAATGAACTGTAAAAATTTTTTTATCGTAATTTTTCGGTCAGTTATGCTTTCGATAATTAACATTTTTTCAAGTTGAAGATTTACATGGAAATCTTGATAATATTTAAAATCGAAGCCTGGATATTGTTCTCTTTCTTAAAAAAATTGAAAAATTTTCCATTTATGATCAATCAAAGATGCGAGATTTGTAAAAGCTGCATAGGTACACGTGACTGATAAATCAGGAATAGAGTCATATTTCGTGTAAATAAATTATTTATAAATTGCAAAGTACTTTCGACTTTTACGCCATCATCCTGTTGAATCAAAGTACAAAACCTTGGTAAAACATCACTCTGAGTGGACATGAACATTACATTAAGCAACCCTTTTTTGTTTAGAACCCTTTTAAACAGGATCTTCTCGTATATACTTTACGAGTAAGTAATTCAAAAAAAAAATATAAAGTAAAATTTCACGTCTAATACTTACGTGCAAGTATCGCACTGATGATGGCATATAAGCTGTAAGCGCTTTGCAATTTAGAAGTAAATTATTTACACCAAATACGACTCTATTCCTGGTTAATCAAAGATGTTAAAGAGTCAAACTATGAACATAGCATTGAACAATTTTTTCAAGTATTCCGATTGTTTTTTTTATGTAAATCTTCAAATTGAAAAAAGAGTTAATAAAGAAAAACATAATTGAGAGGGTGAATGCGGTAAAAATTGTTTATTAGCACATTAAAGTTCAATACATATTCAGAGGGGGATAATTATTTTTTTGGTTGAAGGGGCTGAATCGGGCGTCGCGTGCGCGAGCCAAGGTTTTTTTTGCAAATTTTGAATATCTGATATAGTTTTTGCGATACTAAAAAAATAAACTCTATTTTATTTAACTAAATTGTTTGGAGCTATACATGAGCATAACTTGACTCAAATCGTAAATTAATCTGTGTGAAATCACGAATCAAATACACCTCAATCATATTTTTCAATAAAGACCAACTGAAACCATGTGCATTGGCATTTTGAACTAGACTACAAGACTAGTTCTTTTCTCTTTTTGGAAACGAAAAAGATATTGAAGAAAAATTTTGTCAGTAGTTTTCATTATCAAGATCTTTGCAAATTTTCAACTCTAGATACTAAATAATTTGGAATTTATTGTCATTGATTCACCATCTTTTCAAAGACTTGAAACCATGAAAATCTCAAAAAATAATTGTTTCTGTTCAAAATTGTTCAACAAATAGTAGAATGAAGAGGTATTACTTGAAGATACTAAGCTCTCCTGATGAATGATGTTGATTATCAAAAGGCCACTCTCGATTCCAAAACATCCCCTCCGAATGAGCGTTACTATGGATACAACGCCGACGCGCGAACTGAATGTTAATAATTTGAAAGTAAGTACTGAAATTCAACTGATTTACAAAAATTAGATGAGAATGAGAAAGTATATGCTAAAGAATATTTCTTACTATAACTATAGGGGCCTTCAGGGTTAGGGCAGGCAAAAAACAATTACATTCCACATTCAGGTTTTGATTCTTTTAAAAAAATGTGTTGGATCTCCAGCGTGTTCATTATTTATTATAATAGGACGGAAAACTTTGAGTAAGTGGATACTGTACTCTTATTACGTCCCAACAAACAATACAACGATGGCAAAAGTGCGGCCCATTGAAGTTTATGATGGGAAAGTGCCTGTGTTGGCAAATTGTCAATGGGCTAATATATGCCCTTCAGTTGCAGGCTTTCACCAAATAACCAACATTGGGCCAGTAGTGGTTTATAGTAGTTAAGTCATTGAATGTTTTCTATCGTAAGCCCATTGTTGGCCATTAATCAGTAAATGGTTCCAAATTTACTAACCTCTAATATTTGTTCCAACCAATACGTTAACGTATTCAAAAAACTGTTCATTGTGAGATTTTTACTGAACAATTTTACAAAAACGCAACACGTGTTTCTTATTCAGGTGTGTTAAATTGTGAAATTAGGTATATAAAGTGTTGAATATGTAGAATATAGTTAGTAAAGACACTCCCGAAGAAGCCATTGTATGGCGAAAATCTGTATTTAGTTAAAATCTCACAATAAAGTGTTTTTTGAATACGTTTATTAAATAATATTCGTGAGAGGTAATGTTTGTTGAACCTCAATTTATTGAATATCACCATAGCTTTTTGGCAGTTCTTGCTACATAAATATTTCCCATTTTAAAAATACTCAAGTTGTAGATCAACCCGAAATCTTGCTTAACAAAAAACTAGTCATTTACTCAGAATTTGTATCAATTTACATGTCGTTGGTGTCTAGATCATCCAATTCAGGCTAAAAGAAGTTGGTAATCATCGGTCTACAGTGCTCGCCGTTGACAGTAATGGCCTGGTCAACGTCGTTCTCAAAGTAATATGGACTGACGACGCCGCCAGACCAAAATCCATACCAAACAGTGACTTTTTCAGGATGCATTGGACGCTCTTGAATCTCATGTAGATTGGCATCGCCCCAAATTCGACAATTTTGTTTGTTCACGTACACATTCATCCACAAAAGGGCCTCATCGCTGAAGTTGATTTTTCGATGAAAATTAGGGTCAGTTGCCAACTGCTCCAGAGCCCATTCAGCGTACACATGTTTACCTTCAGTTCCTGGGTCATTTGAATTTTGTATGGGTGCAGGCCCAAGTCACGACGCAAAATTTGCCAAGTTGTGTTCTGCGAAAGACTGAGTTCTTGTGAGTGACGTGAAATCGACTGCTTCGGACTCTCTTGCACACTCTCACAGACAGTGCGTTTCGTCGACGTACGGGTGTTGGTCGATCGTTTACTGAACCAGTGGACTCAAATTCATCTACCACATTGCAAATAGTCCTTTCGGTAAGACGATTATGGCGATCGTAAAATGAGCGAAGCAAACGGACTGAATAGTTGACAACTAATTTGACAAATGTAGCTTCAACAAGATAGCTGTTATCAATTTTCAAAGTTCGGAAGTCCCTGTTGGAATACCCTATATATGTTCATATAAATTAGAGACGGAGTTCACACAATACTAATCGATATTATTTGCTTATGCAATATTCCAAGGAACATATGCTGGAAATTGTTTTGAATACCTAAAAGCATTGAAGTCTTTCAATTCAGCCATTTCTGTTTCACAGTCTGACGTAAATATATTTTTGCTAATATTCCATGATCATCATTTTTTGCAGTTGCGCTGAGTGATTGTATTTACAAAATGTATCTTTGAAAATAAAAAAATGGGGCACCAAAAAACAATTCATTTTTTGTTAAACTACTACAATTATGAACTAGCATGTTGCCATATCATATGTAACACTTTACTTAAGTTCTTGATGTATCCGCTCGATGTCAGCGCCGAATTAAAATTATCAACAACCATTTTAAATGCATTCTTCAAATACAACAAACTCCATAAATCATCAAAAAATTTAACTTTTTCTCTTTTTAAGAAGATTGATGAAATAAAATGATACTTTTCTGAGAAAGTTTTGCACAAAAATTGTAACCAGATTTTAAATTAAATGCATGTTGGAAATATTCAACAACAAATATTCAACAGCTGTCGCACCCCTACGAACGACAACCCTCAAAAGTCGAAACTTGTGCGAGCTAAGGATTAACGAGGTCTTGTATATCTATTTTAGAACGTTTCAAATGTTTTTCTGGTCAACTTATAGCGTTCAAGAGACTATATCATGAAGACATCGAATGCCAGATTTATTCACGTACCCAATTAGTTTATAATAATTTGGTATCATAACAGTTTCGCTGACTTTTTTTGCAACAAATTCCTAACACCCATAAATTTCTTCTAGCTATGAAATGGAAATCCAACACCGAACACTTAATATTCACATAACACGATGAAATATTATCCAGCGGTGAAATCCACCAGCAGATTNTTACTTACTAGACATAGATAAATCTCTGTAATATTCTCAATTTGAAATAGTCAGACGTTGTATAAAATTCATTCAATGATCATTTATGAAATAGAAATCTCTTCAATGATAATGTCATTACAGTAAGCTTTGAATATGACATTACTAATATCAGATATCTGAAAATTATGACATTATTAACATCAATGCGCCAATTTTGTAAAATGTTTTCATCAATATTCAATGGTAAAACTCAGATTACTTGTAAGTATTGCCCATTTTTTTAGTTCTTTTCTATTGTATTTCATTTTAGCGTCCTGACGAAGTCTCTATTCAGAAACGAAAGCTCGGCGATTTGTGAAATAGGGTAAGTTTGTCTTTTGAACCTGTTTGATTGAGTTCCGTTAGTTCCTATATATTGATTGATGCAAATAGTTTTCCTTTATTTTTTTCAATGTTTTAATATTAACAGTTCTTCACGAAAAGGATTTGAAGCATTAACAACTTCTAATTATTATATGCGAGCGCTTTCGATAGCATGGTTCTACTCAAACTGAACGTTTTATCTTCTTCTTTATTCTTTTATACGCCTTAATTCAGGTATTGTCCTCTCCTTTCATCCGGATGTCTATATAAATTTGTCTCTACCTGGGTTACATCAGGTAATATCCTTTGTGTGGGGGTTTCTCTAGGTTCATTGTTTATAGGAATGTGTATTGTTTAGTGGAGTATATTGAATGTTAGGGCTTGTTGTGTTTTGATTTGTATTTGTTCCTAGATAAGTGAATTATGACTTGAATTTATGGATGTTCAAATTTTCCCAGATGTTCATATGGGTTCTTTTATTGACTTGTTTTATGAGTTTGATTTTTTCTGGTGGGGGAAAGTTATGTTTGTTTTCTATGGCGCGTGTTCCGTGGTTTGATTTGTTATTGGGTTTATGTATGCTTTTTTCTGCTCGTCGTAATTTTGGATCAGTTTTTTCTTGGTTTGGCCGATATAGAATTTGTTACAGTCCAAACATTGTATGCTGTACACACCGTTTAGGTTTTTGCCTTCTTCTTTTTCATAGCTGTTTATTTTTTGTGCTATTTTCGTGTTCAGCTTGTAAGTGATGTTGATGTTCAAGGGTTTGAAGATATTTGTTAATTTTTGTGTAATGTTCATGTGTAATGTTTCAATTAAGTATAAAGAAATGGGTATGGTCTAAATATACAATTGGGAGGTACTAGTCTTAGGTGAATCTTCAACAAGAAAGTTATAAGGTGTAATTCAGGCACTTCTTATATGAGTTATTCTTCATATTCTTGTTTTGTTTAACTCTATCTTGATTTTACANAGTTATCACTGAGGTTCATGTGATTCAAGATAGTTCTCCCATGTCGATGTCAGGCGGTGGTCATCAAACATGTGAAATTTCAAAATTCTATGGGTCTTATTGGTCGAATTTGAAAATGTTCTTGCTGAACTGAAACTTTTATAATACTGATTTTTTTCATTTGAATGAATACTTTACAATATTCGAAATTTTGAAAATCACAACTACAGTTTTTGACCATGTTGACAAAAATTGTCGATTTGTGAAGGTTGCTTTTAACTTATTTCGTGTTTAAAATATAAAGTGATCTTTAGATGCAGAATTTAATAGCATACAATCGAGTGAGACATAATTTTCTAAAGAAAGGATTTTTGATTTGTAAGCAAGAAACGGAGACTAGGTTTTTTGGCAGCCAAAAGCCAAATAATTTGCGATAAACTTGATTCTTACGAGTAATGACTACATTTGCCGCTCGTTTAATGATATATTATTTTTAATGTTTTTGAAAAATGCGTCAATTATGTGATGGTTTCTTATTGGATAAGTAGGTAATGATCTCATAATTCACATCTTCGTACCAATCTTAGTTGTCCAGATTCATATCTCACTATTCATAAGTCCATTTTCAGATAAAAAATTTGAAATTTTACAGTTGTGTCAATTATTTTCAATGGGAGATCGCAGACTCGCCAAACTCAACATTTCTCTNGGCTAATAGGGTTTGTCTGCTGTCAGTGCAGATTGTTATGTTTTTGCCAGAAATTCCTTTCCTGGTTATTTCTTTTGTGGCGATTGAGATACCAGCCTGTTCTGTTTGGACCACGCTGGTATTTCTTCCCATTCCCCATTTAATTCTTAGGCTTAGTGATCTGGAGTACACTCCACACCCTGAACCTTCTTTGGTTTTTGAGCCGTCAGTATAAATCCGTATTGCATTTGTATCACCTGACTCTATGTTGTGTTTGATTTGTATTTTGTAGGGTTTATTAAACACAAACCTGGGTTCAATTGCATCGTTTTTTGCCTGCAGCAAAGGTTGCGCAGTAAGCGCTTCCCGCCATAGGCCCAGCCTAAATTGACCCATTCTTACTTCGAGGTCTACACCAGCTGTGCGCAATCGTACCGGGATTCCTTGTAGGCAATGTCTATTTTGTTGTGGATAGATACCGTGTACCTTTCCAGTTCGTCATTGTTGCCAGAGCTACGTATAAGTCAGCCAGCGGTGGTCTGACATTGAAATATGGTCCGAGACTTGCCAGTTTTGGATTTTGATTGATATTTGATACATGATTACATTATATCAAGCATTACAAATAAGGGTAACTTTGTATAAATATATCTATTCTGAAAATTAGCGGTTTTTGAAATATTTGCAATTTAATATTATTCTATTGATAGAATACTTACTATACGGTTTTTAAATTCTGTTCAAATCACACAAAAGAAGATCATTTAAATTTATTTATTATTTACGGAGACTGTGATAAAGTTATTTCAAGGACGCGTTTCCCGATATGCGATCCGATTTCCGGAAAAAAGAAACCATCACCAAATACTGTCAAGAAAATTATACAAAATTTCAAGAATTTTAGATCCGTACGAGTAAGAGTACAGAAAAATGAACCAGTAGTTAACAATGAAAATATTGAAATTGCAATTTTGGGATATTCTGCGGCATACCCACAAATATCTACCAGACAAGTAGCATTAGAATAGATAGGGAATATTTCAGGCATCAAAAATAAGAATTTTGCGAAACCCGAGTTTCATCCATGTGTCTTTTCCAAAGTTCAACATCTTGAAGATACCGACTTTTCAGAAAGAGTTGAATTCTGTGAATTACTTTTATCTCAAGAAAATGTTTTTTTGGATATCATCTGGACGGATGAAGCGAAGTTTTGCGAAAAATAGGATTTTTATTCGACGAAATTGCCATTATTGGAGCGACACAAATGTACATTCATTTAAGGAACTGAATTTTCAAGAGTCCTGGCAATTTAATGTTTATTCTTCTTCTTTTTCCATTAATGGCTTCAGTTTTTAATGTTTATTGTGTCATATGAAATGACACCGTCGTGGCCTTAGAACTTATGAAGACAATTTAAATGATAGGTGAAGATAGTTTTTAATTTTTCTAAAACTCGTTTAATAATTTTTTGGTGAGCGTTATCGTAACAGCTTACACAATTTTGAAATTGACCAACTAGAAAATTTGCCGCTGGCTGATCATAGAAATGAATTCTACCAACACGGTGAGGCGCCTCCACATAATGACCATGTAGTCAATAATCAGCTGCAAACTAACTAATTTTTTTTTTGATCATTTTTGTGCACATTGCCTCTTATTCAGGGCTATTCAAATTCGTTTCTGTACATGGGGATCTTGTAAACGATAAGAGATAGAGTGTCGGTTAAATTGTGGCAAAGTTGCGTATTTTAAAGACCTGTTCAATGATATAAAGGAATCGAATATAGCTCTTTTGTTTCTGGAGTTATACAGAAAAAACCAAAAAATCCCAAATTATTTTTTTGCCTATATCTTCTTTATTCGCAGACATATTGAAAATCTGTCCATATTTTGCCATTGGCACTTGATGTGGGCTATCAGAATATGCCTATGAATCTTTTATACAGGGTGTCATTTGACTTGGGCTACCCCCATCTTTGAATTTTTGAATACGGACCTGTATTTTTTGTTGTACTTTTTGTATCGTCGACGTTCACTTCATACTGAGAAATTAAATTCAATTTTATATTTCGGGATATTTCGGTAATATTTGGTTCTGGAAATTGGTTGACTGAGTTGAATAAAAACACAATAGCAAGTTTCACGTCTCTCCATGTACCGTAAAGTTTTTCGAGGGTTTTTTTTTAATTTTTAGGTACCTATTCATATTTTTTCCATTGCTATGAGCGTTTTCTACAATGAACTTCGAATAAGAAAACATTTTATGATTGATTATCTGAAACATATCCACATCAAAAACATATTAAATGTCTTTTTATGAGCAGAAAAAGAAATGATAGCAATAATAACATCCGAAATGAACACTATAAGCCATTATCATAGAGAGAGAATTGTAATGAAAATTGAGATGAAGTAATTTATATACACAAAAAAAATAATGGCGCAATAAATGTTCGAATTGGAGTTTTTTCATATTATTTATTGCCCTTAACACATTTATTTGCTGCATTGTTGCGAAATCATTCAAAATCCTCAATCTGGAGTCTTCCACATTTTCTATTTCTCTGCCAGCGTAAATCCTATTTTTTAATGTCCCCCATAGAAANTTTCGATCCATACGAGTGAGAGTGCAGAAAAATAAACCAGTAGTTAATGATGTCTATTGGGTTTGATTCTGTTCTACAAGGAATTCAACCAAAACATAATGATGGGCTGTCAATATCATGTTTGACATATAAACTCAAATATGTCAAAAACAGACTTAGATATAGGGCATTATGCACAAAAAATATTCAGATTCTGATGAAGAATCCAAAAATGTATTAATATATAGGATGTTTTATTCAAAATAACGAAGTTGACAGCTACTTCGTGTATAACCGGAAGTGGTGCCATTGTGAGAATATTTTAGCCGAGTTGCTACCATCGACTTCAGTATATTGTTAAATTTTCAGATTTTTCCTAATTATAGTTTTCCCACAATCGATCGATGCAGTTCCTGTAGATTTACCATGTATTGTGACATATTTTTCAAAGTTAAAAAAATGGTCTGCAAGAATGTTGGTATCTTGTTTCATATATTATTTTTATCGCCTTTACAATACAAGTAAGAATGAAAAAATGAACGAATGAGTTGTTGATGGAGCATATTGACTGAGAATAAGTATTTTTCAATTTCTTTTGGAACATTTTACGACTCAATGAAAGCACTGATGATCCTGTCCAACTCCATATTTTTAAAAACCTAAAAAACGGAACTTGTTAAGAGAGAATAAGTTTTCCGTCACTGAGATGACGGTGGAGAAGGAAAGGGGTCGAAAATACTAAATTGTTTTCTGCTATAGGTAATAACAAGTTTATT